GACGCTAATCGTCGAAAATCAAAAAATAGAAGTTGTCGGAGGTGACAGTCTCATTTCGCGCCATTAGGACCTCTTTCTGAGCGTGAAAGAAGCTGAAAACGTGATCAGCGGTTCTTTGGGGAACCGGTCGCCACTCGCTCTTCGTCGTGCATCGGTCGGAAAACGGGAAAGGAGGGAGAGGGAGGAACGGCGCCGCTCGAGACCAGTAAGAAAGAAGAAAGAAACAAGTGAAAAAAAGGAAGAAAAGAAAAAGGCTGGTTTCTAGACTATCCGGTCCGATCCGAAACCGGTTTGCTTCAAATTTCAGTGATTTGGCTCAGTCTTTGCTTGTTTAAGGGTTTTTCCACCTGATTTTCGAAAAATTTAAAACTGATTTACAGGTAGATTTAGATAATAAAAAAACATTTTTTGCTAAATCTCATCGTTTAAATTTAAAATAAAATTTTTAAATGCAAAATCCGGATCGTTTCACCATACCTATATTTGAAAGAGACAGAGAGAAGACTACTTTTTATTTAAACTAAAATAAATAAATAAATGAATAGTTCTTAAGCATTGCAATTTCTAACTAATTATTTATATGACCATGGCACCCTTTTTATTCTTTACTTTTTATCACTATTTTTGGGAAAAATATAGTTTTTATTTTATGTTGTTTTCCTTTGAAAATTTGCTTTCATTTCCTTATTCTTTTTTTTTTTTTTATGTTCTTTCTCACTTTACTACTATGATAATTATATTATCTTCCATGTCCTTGGCTTTTTGCTTCTGCTGCTATTCAAACTCAAGCAAATGCCTTTCTAAAGTGGAAAGCTAGTCTTGAAACAAAAAAGCTAGTGATGTAACGAGGTAATCGCTTATGAACTGTTTGAGACTTCGGCTAGGTAAAAGCTCGCTTGAACTCGTTCAATAAATTATCGAGCTAAGTTCGAGCTTGGGTCATTAGCTCACGAGTCAGCTTTTATCGAGCCGAGCTCTCGGAGTTAACTTGTGAGCCAAAATCCAATTTAAAAACCTAACATAAAACGACGTCATTTTTGATTAATAATTTCGAGCTCTAGCTCTGCTCATTTATGGTTATCAAGCTAAGCCCGAATCAAGCTTCGAGCTTGGCTGATTTTTAAACGAGCCCAGCTGAGCTTTTAGATTTTCGAGTTATGAAACGAATTCAAGCTCGAGCTGACTCGGCTCGTTTATCAGGCCCTAATTAGAGTCAATTTATCTTATCTTTCTTTGTTCTCAACCGTGCTACTCCTTGTAATTTGGAAACTTGACAAAAAGATCAAGTTACAAATTATATTACAATAGATTGGAGGTCACTACCATATGGCATATGGCCTTATGTGGATCACTTAAATATTTCGCTGCATATGGAAATGATTTTAGGGTTGGCATCCCAAAAAGGCCTTCAAAATTGCAACTCCTTGGTTAAGACTTCCATCTTGAGAGAATTCCAAAGCATTAGGAAATATTATCATCAAAGATTTTGGGTACATATATATATATGAACTATTTAATTTATGCCGTAACAAAGTTCTACAGTGATTTTCATTGAAAATGGGGAAGGCTTTCATAATTGTCAACTTTAACAAAATATAATTTATCTTAAATCCTGAACGCTGTTTTTGACCGATCAAAAACGCTAAACGCTGTTTTTTATAGTATTTGATAAATAACATTTGAATCTAACTTTTAGAGATTGAAGTAGCGTTTTATAAAAAGTTAACTTATGTGGACGTTAATGGTTTAACGTTTCATGAAAAGTACTCCAAAAAATTAACAACTACAAAAAACAACAATTTGCCTGTATACACGCACTAAAGCATTTCTTGTGGCTCCATTTGAAGCAGTAAAAAGCAACAAAGGTGTTACGCGGTAACAATACCAACTTAAAAACTTGTGGTTCCTTCGTAATAAAAAAAACAAAAAAATCAATCTTATTGTTCTTCCAATCTTGTCTACCAGTCAATCAAATTAATATTTTCAAAATAAATTACTTTTCAAGCACAAATGGAATCTCCATTAAGCAAATTTAAGCTGATAATATTCCAGTTAGTTGTCGTTACTTTCTTTTGCAGGTATACTGCATCTAGCTTTAGTAAATAAGATCCATTCAACCCATCTTTGAAAGGAAAAAAAAAGTTATTGCTAATCCTAAGAAAAAAAATTTTATGGAACTCAACATTGTTTGCAAGGACATGATGAAAGTAAAGAATGAGCATTCAGTTCAATTGAATCGCCCAATTGAAAAAAATTCAAAATTTAAATAGAATTCGAATCAATTTGAGTTAAATATTGAAAAAAACTAATTAAATTGAATTGAAAAGATTTAATTTATTCATACAAATAGAACTAAAGTGAAAATAATCAAGTCAATTTTTATTTTTAAAAAGAAAATATTTAGTTTAAAAAAAATCAATCAAAATTGGATTGAAATTCATGTTGTTAGTTCGATTTTTCTAATTGAATTTGATAACCTTTATTTTGTGGTATTTGGGTCTATTCAATTTATAGAATACTGAGTCAAAATGAAAATTAAAATTTACATTTTGTAATTAATCAAATCGAATAATTTGTTGATAAATCAAAATTCAATCAAACTAAATTAGCATCGGCTGGATTTATTATTCAATTAAAATCGAAACTTACTTACTCATTAGGTCAAAGTGATAACTCGAAACCATTATCCAATCAGCTGAGAGGCAAAATATGGTTAAATTAGAGATAACATCTGCAAATTAAAAGGTTTTGATTCGTGAAAAAAAACACTTCTTAAACCGGTAGGGTAGTCATGAAACTCCAAACTCATGTTTTGAACGACACGTGAGGAAAAAAAATGATATGAATTCGAGGGGAGGATTTATTATAAGCAGAGATAATGAACGACGAACCGTTCGTGAAACCGCCTAATAGTTTTAGGAACAGAAAATCGATAACACCCAGTAATTGGATTAGGAAATTACTACCAGAAAAAGCTATAATACCCTATTTTTAAAATCCTCTTCGTTCCAAAATCTCCTCTGGTCTTCTCCCTCTCTATCAAAACCCCGCTGTTTGGTTAGCTATTTGCAACCTTTCCGGCGATGATCATTCACTGATGCCCACCCGTTAATTTCCGGTAATTTACTCTTATCTTCCCAATAATCTTCCTCTTTAATTGTGTTGGGTTATAGATGCTATTTTGATTCAAATTTATGGTTTATTCAGTTGAGTTCATTCTCTACTTTTTGTTGGAAGACTGTATTTTTTTATATATTTCCTTACTGCCCTCTTTATGTTAAGTTTTTGTTATGTGATTGCCTTTGTGTCTTTTATTGTTAATACAATATAATGGACGGCATAAAGGGGAAAATGTTATTTTTCAAGGAAAAAGAAAAGAAGAGTTTTGAGTCAGCTCGTATGGATTGATGATTTTGATTTTCATGTATGTATGTATGCATGCATGTTGGTACTGATGAGGCCAGCTGCATAAAGTGACTGAAGAGAATGCAAATTAGACCAACTATTTTTATGACTCTATTTTGATTGTTTTATAGTTGTGGTTTTAAATTTTTTAACTAGAAGACAGATTCTGAGAATTTATATGTTTTAAATATTTCAATTTTTTCAAAAAAACAAAATTTCTTGCTGCACAGAGAAATTCTGTCCATTTCAAAAATTATTAAAAAGTTTATTTCTTTCATTTAGGCCTTTAAAGGCTGTTCTTTGTGCAGGTTAAAATTTTGACCTGAACTTGGAATTTGTATCTTGTTCTCTAAGCGGGTTCTACTCAAATTTTCTTGAGGTGTAAATACATATTTATAATGGATTTAATATCTTAAAGGTATAGCCTGGGTTGGGAACATTTATCAGAAGGTTTTGGAAACAATGACCCAGGAAAGTGGATAGCATGTGAACAGGTATCGATTCTTCTCTTTTATTTATTTTTTTTTTTTTTTCTTTTTTTCATTCTTTTAATCTCGGATAAAGCATTTCCAGTGTTTAGCTGTTCGTCTTGAGAAGTATTCGCTCATTGTTTACTTGAACGAGTGTAAACAACCACACACACACCACACACACACACACACACACATACACATACATATACATCAATATCCTTGCATCACAATCACAATTGTAGATTATGTTCTTGGTAACTGCATTACTGCATATATAAGATCCTCAAACTTGATTTTGCAATTCCCCTGTGCTTGAACTGCTTCTTTTACAGAATACTGTTAGATATGTTGAAAACCAGGTGCACACTGTGGGTGAGAGCATGAAAAAGTTTTGCGATGTTGTTCAAGATATTATTCCTCCTATAGTTGATCCTGTAAGATGTGATGCTCAAGCAGTGGCTATAAAAGGAAATGCTGTTGTTGGTACCTATATTAAATCTATGATTGGTATTGAGGAAGATCATGGACGTATGGATCCCATAAAGCAGTCATTTGCAGAGCCCAGTGATTTTGATGTGAGGAATCAGTCCAGTAATACGTTCAGTGGACACCACTTTGAATACGTTCAGTGGACACCACTTTGTAAATCAATCAACTACTGCAACTCCCATGGATTCCCTTGAGGTGACAGCATTTGACTCTGATCCAGGAAACATAAACGATGTTTTGACAAATGATTTGGGCACACCAGGTCCAGGAGAAATTGATGATATTTCAACAAATAAAATCCCACAAATGATTTGGGCACACCAGGTCCAGGAGAAATTGATGATATTTCAACAAATAAAATCTCTGATTTGAGCACAGAAGAAAATACAGTATTGGAGAAGTCCAATATACCTGAGGCTTTGGAGTTAATTGCTCCTGAAGAGAAAGAACCACTCCATGCATCAATACCTAGTGAATTCATTGATTCCACTCACGAAAGTGCTCGTGTTTCTCCTGAGGAGAAAAGGTCATTACATGTATCGCTATCCAATGAATTCGTTCATTCTAATGGTGAAAATGCTTTTGTTTCTATGGGTGAGGTGTCACCTGCAACTTCAGTTCATGGAGGTCACCTGCAACTTCAGTTCATGAAGAGGACCATAGGTCTGCCCAAAAGATGGAAACAGCTTGTTACAGCCTTGCAGATGATTCTTATTCTGTGTCTGATTCTTTAAGTGTTGTTTCTGTGTCTGAAATGGCTTTTTCAGCTGCCTCCTCCTGTGGTTCAATATTTACAGAACCTTGTACGCTGCATGAGAATTCATTTAATGACGTCCTCGCAGTAGTGTCTTGTAGCAACCGTGTTAGTGTGGCTGGCCATGATTCTCATAGTTCGAATGTACTCTCGTCATCTATTTCTGCTCCAGTTGCATCTAGAGACAGGGAAGTAGCAGAGACTGGGTCCACTTGCTCCAATGATGTCCTGTCATTGGAATCTGCAGGTTGGTTTTCCCAAGTTTATATTCTAGCTTTCCTTCTGTATTTGGTAGAAGAAGAACCTGTAGAATGTTCTTATGAAGTTAATTATCTCATCACGTGTCTTGTACTATCTCACTAGGTAACAAACAGAGTAAGCATTTGGGGATATGGAGACTTGACCAGCATTTGCACATTTAGACATCTTGGTGGATGATATAAATCTTATTAGGAAGATAGTCTTAGCATTGTAAATGACCTTATCAATGGACAAACTGACAAGTATGTAAGATTTATTTATTCATAACTAGGAAGAATCAGTCTTATGTAGTTGTTTGCTTATGTAGGGTGTGCAAGTGAGCCTAGTAATTTCTGTGCATCTTTTAGAAAATGGGCACAACCAAGTTGTGCATGAGCTGTACGCAGCTCATTTTGCCTTCTCCCTCTCTCTCTCTTTTTATTTTTTATTTATTTTTTTTAAGCCATGTGTGTGGGTCCCACATGTTGGAGGGACTGTGTGGATTTTCTGTCTGTGTGGATTTTCCGCGAAACTGCTTCTCTTCAATTCATTCTTTTTGAGGTGAAGTGTGTTGATACTATTTTACTGTACACCTTAGTGCTTAGATGGCAGCATAATATAATTGGTTTTTATCTTTTATAAAAATTGACATGCATTTGTCTTATTGGAGGTAAAGATAGTTTTGACCTTCACTTCCTGTGATATATTTTCTTATTTTTGGCTGGTAAGCGAGGCTGGTAAAGCGAAATCTTCACTTGTTGAATGTTATCGTCTTATTTTCTTATTTAAAATTCATCTATGATCATTTTTCTGTTTGTACTTTTCCGTAACAAATTTTTTCGTTTTTATTTTAGATTTCGTTTTTCATTTTTCATTTTATTGACTTTATTACTTATCATTTTTGGTTTTGTTACTTCATCTTTCTATTGGTTTTTTTTTTTTTTTTTTTTTAACCAAAATTTAGGTTTTCTTCATTTCCTAACATATGATGTTTGTTTAGTTTGAAACTTCATTTTTGACATTTATTAAGGTTTATTAATGTACAGATTGCAACATTTCTAAATTGATATAGTGTTTTACAATTGATACTTATCTAGTAATTTAGGAGCTCTATTAAAATAAGATAAAATTTGAATCTAAGGTGAAATTGTAATTAACTGTGACCCCTTATTAGAACCATATATTTGCTATAGTTTGAATTCAAGGTGCAATTGTGATAAAAAGTTAAAAGTGAGTGTTTGGGGTATTTTATAGTATAATTTAGCCGACTCATTTTTTGGGTTAAGTTAATTCAAGTATAAGTTATAGGACCCATATTTAATATATATTATTCATTAATTTTGACCAATTTCGAATTAGGTATAATTGTGAAAAAAAATTTTAGTTGGAGTGCTTGAGGGGTTAAATTGAATTTATGGTGAAATTATTATAAGACGCAAAGTTTAGGTTAAATTGAATTTATGGTGAAATTATTATAAGACGCAAAGTTTAAAGGTATTTAATAGTTTACCCAAATTTTCAATAGACAATTGAAATCATCTTTATTCATTATTTAATAAAAAGTCTCTTATTTCAAAGAAATTAATCTATTTTGTCATTTTAAAATCATAAAAATGGGATTGACTTGTTTAGACTCGGTTTATGGACTCACTATAAATCAAACCAATGTAAAATTATTTTTATTTATTGAATTGAAGGTATTTCTAATTATACACTAAAAAAAGAATAAAATGGAAACAATTTTTAAAATGTTCATAGTCATAGACCTTGTCTAGGCAAATTTAATCTCAAAAATGCATTATCAAGTTAGCAAATTTGAAAAGTGAAAATGGAATTAATTTGCTACATTTGGTTACATGTACATGTGTTTGTCTTTAAATGCAATTGTTCGTTGTTATCTATGTGTTTTGTAATAAATTTCTGAAAACACATACATGTCACTTGATTACATTTTTTTGTCTTTAAACTCACCGATTTGTTGTCATCTCAATGTTCTGTTTTGTCCCTAAATTTCCACAAAAACACGTAAGAGTTAGTTGGATATTTCTGACCATGCACTTGTAAAAGTTATAAAAAAGAAAAGATAAAGTTAGAACTATTAGAGTTTTGGGCAAAGAAGTGAACGAGAAATAACATTATCTGTAGAACTTTTAGAAACAATTTTTGCAATAAAGAAAGGAACAAATTCTGCAGATTTTAGGCTTCAAAGGAGAAGGATTATGAAAAACATTATGAAATAGGAGTTTTCACGGTGGGCATAATTCATTGATCAAGTTTCATACTTAAATACAGAAAGATTAAAGTATCACAAGTATGGTTTACTATCAATCTCATACTTGCCCATACTTTTTATCTTTACTTCGTAACTTATCTCATAGTTAACTATCCAAGCCATACTTGTAAAACTAAAAAGGCTGCAACATAATACAATAGTAATAAACAAAATGTTTTCATAATGTGACGACAAGAATGCCATAACCTTCAACATGAACACTGTTTAAAAATCTTTAGTTTCATTGATTCGGTTCATAAATGGAGTAGTAAAATTTAATGGGAATTTAATAAAGAAATTAGAGTAGTAATAATTGAATTATTGTTGTCCTTTAAGAGACCAAAAGGGTCCTATATATATTAGTACAACTTTTAGAATAATTATTTTCTAATTATTTTTCTTATTTTTTTTAAATTATGAATTTAATTTTTTCCCGCGAAGTGAAACAACCGGAATTTTATTTTCAAATGATTTTCCAATTAAATTTAATAAACTGACAGCCTGCGAAATTTATTTAATATTTTAAATGCGAAATTTTAATGCGAACACTGTGAGAAACCGAACCGAAAACCGACTGACAAAGATTTGGGTCGAATCGAACCGAATCGAACCGGTTCGACCCAAACCATCTAGAAAATTCCCTTTTTTTTTATCTCCAGCGCTGCACCTCTACTCCTCACCCTCACCAGCGCCTCACCTCCACTCCACCGACACAGCCACCGCGCCGCCTCCTCCCTTCTTCTTCTTCTTCTTCTTCTTCTGCTTTCTTTCTTTCTTTCTTTCTTTCTTTCTTTCTTCTCCTTCCTTCTTCCCTGCGTCTGTCTGCGTGTGACTGGCGAGAGACAGCAGATCTGTCGCGTGCCACCTAGCCCTCGCGGGCCACCTCGCCGCCACTCCACGCCGCCAGTCGCACCGCCTCACTGCTCCTCCACGCGCCACTGCCAGTAGCTCCGCCCTCTGCCAGATTACGCAGCGCACGGCAGCAGCACAGTCTCCGCCTTGTCGCGCCACCACCGTGCCCTGCTGCTCCGCCACTGCTCCGCCACAACAGATCGTGCCTCTGCCGCCGCTCCAGCGTGCCTCCGACCACCAACAGCCACTGCTCTCCGATCCGGCACGCGTGAAAATCCCCGATCTAGCGAAATTTGACAAAAAAATTATATTTGGGGTGATTATCATTTTGGGATCGGCTCCGGGTCCATCTAGTGCTCCCCAAGACAGAATCAAAGCTAGAACTTTCGCTTCTCCATCACTGTGAGTAAATAATAAATAATGCAGATCAACATGCATTTGCATAGCTATTTTTTTTTAAAACCTTATTTATGGTAAATTGTATATTTGGATGGATTTGGGTGTAATACGTTGAAAGAATTGTTTGATTACTTGTGCTGTGCAGTATACTGTGCCTTGGTTTGGTGTGGAATTGGGATGAAGTGGGTTCACCAAAATGGGTTTGTGAGACTGTTTTTCCTGTTATATGGATCCTGATTCTGATTTCTGTTATATTCTGATTCTGTTATATGGATCCTGATTCTTGTTTCTGTTGAGCCCGGGTAATGGGAGATCGGCGCCCCCATGTTGCACCTGAATAAATTCTGTTATTCTGAAACCACATGATGGCCTTCTTGTTGTTGCGCGACCTGAAAATCTAGATTTTAATTGCAGCCCGCAGGGTGGCCTCCTGTTTGTGAGCGCTTGATGATCTAGATTGGATGGAGACCACCGGGTTGCCTCCTGTTGGTATGGAAAAAGAAAAGAAGAGAATGGAAAAACAATGAGAGGGCCTGGTCAAGTGAGGATTAGACCGGTCGGCCAGTATGAGGGATTGGCTCCCTGGTGCAATGGTGAGAGGATGAGCCATGTGGGAGGACGGCTCCATCGGGGGTTCGGTGACTCACTGACTAATTTCCACGTGATGTGATTATTTGAAGGTGATATTGTTTTGTGGGTTGCTGATGTAAATGTCAATAATGATTGACTGTTGTGGTTCATTCAGTAATACTAGGGTGCATTTTTGCTTGACTGTATGTGGTGTGTAATTATTTATAATTATTCATGAGTTGCAAAACTCACTCCTCTCTCTCAAACCTCCCAGGTACTAGGAAGCAGCTGATTCACTGAAGCTCTGCAATCTTCTCCGCAGAGTTATAAATGTAAACTTTATATTTCTGTTATTTAATTTTGGATGTATAAGTTACTCTATTATCAGATTTTTTTTTTGAACTCCGCAGTTATAGGGTTGTGTATTACTATTGGACTTATTGTTAGCATTACACTATAAATTAAATATTATGTAATTAACTGCAAGTGAACTAATAAGCCCATAATCTGATTATAATTTATTGTGAATAGGTCCTGGTTAGATATTCTGTGTTAATTGAGATTGAGGCTTACTGTTTTGATGAATTAATTGGGCAAGATAGGTAGACAATTGGATAATTTAGGCTTACTACGGGCCTCGGGGGCCTTAAGCTTACTTGGGCCCTAGTGCCGGTCCGGCCCACGAAAACGGGTCGTGACAATAAGTTGGAGCATTTTAATGTGTACAATTTTATAAATTATGGTATTCACTCGGTCAAAGCGAAATTAGAGGTATCACAAGATTTTTTGCAAAAAAATAAAATAGTAAATTTATACATTAAACTTTTTTTTAAATGGTTCCTACATTTTGGGGAAGGTAGTATCTTTTTAACTTATTTCTAATAAGGATATTGTAGTATATGTCAGATTTTGAAACTTTAGTTTAAAAATCTCATTTTGACCTAAATTATTAAAACAATAAAAATCTCATTTTGACCTAAATTATTAAAACAATATCAATTTTGTTAGTGATTTACTTATTTACCTTTTCACGTAACGAGGTTTTTATTTTCTGTTTGGATGCTATTGTTTGTCACTTTGAAACTAATGTTTCTTCTTTTACCACTTCTTTAGTGGCAGGCGTGAACTGCCTTTGGCAGCAAGACCCACATGAGAGTCATCGTCACTGGCACGACTGATGTGAGAGTCCTCATCGAAAAATCAACTTTTATTCTACGATTTCATTTTCATTTTCATTTCTATTCTTCAGGAAAATTAATATCTATTCTACAATTTCATTTTTATTTTTATTTTTGTTCTTATCAGAAAATCGATTTTTGAAAGTATTTAATGATTTACCCAAATTTTGAATAGACAATTGAAGTCATCTTTATTCATTATTTAATAAAAAGTTACAGATTTTCAAATAAATTAATTTATTTTTTGTCATTTTAAAGTCATAAAATGGGATTGACTTGTTTAGACCCGGTTACCCCGTTTATGGACGAACCAAATTAATAAAAAATTATTGTTTTTACTGAGTTGAAGGTATTTCTAATCATATACTGAAAAAAGAATAAAATGGAAATAATTTTTAAAATGTTCATAGACATAGACCTCGTCTAATATTAAAAATGCACTGTCAAGTTAGTAATTTAGAAAGTGAATAATTATATTTGAAAGTTTTTGATAAATTATAGAATTATGAAAAACCAAACCATGACAACATTATTTCATTTAAAACTGAATAGTTCTTAAGCATTGGAATGTCTAATTAGTTATTTAATCATCACGGCACGATGCATTATTTTGGGAAAAAAAGTATATTAAAAGATGCATTATTTTGGGAAAAAAAGTATATTTTTTAGTTATGTCGTTTTCTTTTGAAATTTCCTTAGATTTCCTTTTGTATTCATCTCCTTATCTTGGCATATCAAAGGATTGCGAGGTCTTAATTTATTGATAAAAAAATAGAAAAAAAAAAAGAGAATATTATCTTGTCTAGGGCATATGCTTGGGTCAACAACAAAGTAAACTCAAAAGTGGAATTAATTTGCTGCATTTGGTTATATGTGTTTGTCTTTATAAACTCACTTGTTTGTTGACCTATGTGTTTTGTAATAAATTTCTAAAAACACATATATGTCAATTGATTACATCTATTTGTCTTTAAACTCAACTATTTGTTGTCACCTCAATGTTATGTTTTATCCCTAAATTTCCACAAAACAGGTACTAGTTAGTTGGATATTTCGGACCATATATTTACAAAAAAGAAAGGATAAAATCGAAACTGTCAGAGTTTTGGGTAAAAAAGTGATTGAGAAATAACATTATCTGCAGAACTTTTACAAAACAATTTCTGCAGTAAAGAAAGGAACAAATTTTGTAGATTTTAGGCTTTAAAGGAGAAGGATTGTGAAAAACATTATGAAATAGGAGGTTTCATAGTGGGCATAATTCATTGATCAAGTTTCACACTTAAATACAAAAAGATTAAAGCACCACAAGTACGGTTTGCTGTCAATTTCATTTCATAACTTTGCCCATACTTTACCCTTACTTCAATAACTTATCTCTCATAGTTAACCTATCTAAGCCATACTTCTAAAACTAAAAAGGCTGCAACATAATACAATAGTAATAAACAAAATGTTTTCATAATGTGACGGTAATAATGCCATAACTTTCAATAGAAATACTATTTAAAAATCTTTAGTTTCATTGATTCGGTTCATAAGTGGAGTGAAAAATTTTATGGGAATTTCATACAGAAATTAGAGTAGTAATAATTGAATTATTGTTGTCCTTTAAGAGACCAAAAGGGTCCTATATATATTTAGTACAACTTTTAGAATAACAATTTTCTTATTTTTTAATTATGATTTAATTTCATAAGTTGGAGCATTTTAATTGGTACAATTTTATAAATTATGGTATTCACTCAGTCAAAGTGAAATTAGAGGTATCATAAGATTTTTTATAAAAAAATAAAATGGTAAATTTATACATTAAACTTTTTTCAATTAAACTTTTTTTTAAATGGTTCCCCAAAACAATTTCGGGGAAGGTAAAAGTACCATTTATTTTACATATTTCTAATAAAGCATAATTATAAGTATATGTCAGATTTTGAAACTTTAGTTATAAAAAATAAAATCATCATTTTAAGACCAATAAATAATTAATATTAATAAAACAATATCGATTATTAAATATGAAACTATGTATAGTAATTTAGGGGCTCATAGTAAAATAAAGATAAAAAAAATTTGAATCTAAGGTGAAATTGTAATTGAATGTGACCCCCTTATTCGAACAATATATTTGCTATAATTTGAATTCAACTTGCAGTTGAGATAAAAAGTTAAAAGTAAGTGTCTGAGTGATTAAGATCATTTTGGGGTGAAATTGTTACAATCGCCAAAGTTTGAGGTATTTTATAGTATAATTTAGCCAACTCATTCTTTGGATAAAGTTAATTCAAGTTGTAGGACCCATATTAAATATATATTATTAATTAATTTTGATCAATTTGGAATTGGGGTATAATTGTGACAAAACATTTTAGTTGGAGTGCTTGAGGGGTTAAGTTGGATTTAGGGTGAAATTATTACAAGACGCAGAGTTTGAAGGTATTTAATGGTTTACTCAAATTTTGAATAGACAATTGAAATCATCTTTATTCATTATTTAATAAAAAATTTAATAAAAAATCTCTACTGGATTTTTACGAAATAAATTAATTTATTTTTTGTCCGTTTTAAAAAGTCCTAAAAAATGGGAGGACTTAATACCAGCCCGGTTTTTAATTGGACTCAACTAAATGACCACCAATGAAAAATTATTTTTTTATTGAATTGAAGGTGTTTTTCTAAGCATGCACTGAAAAAAAAGGAAAATGAAATTTTTTTTTTTTTGATAGTAAAATGAAAACAATTTTTAAAATGTTCATAGTTATAGACCGTCGTATTGGCAGTTTATATTAAAAAATACCACTATCAAGTTTTAGTAAATTCAAAAAGCTTAATTATTTGAAAACTTAAAAAACTTTATAAAACTTTTTGAATAAAATTATAAATTATGAAAACCCCAAACATGGCCAACTTTATTTCATTTAAAACTAATAGTTCCTTAAGCAATTGGAATGTCCAATTAGTTATTTAATCATCAATGGCACCATCATTATTTTTGGGAAAAAAATTTTAGTTATGTCGTTTCCTTTTGAATATTTCCTTGAAGATTTACTTTTTGGTATTCATTCCTTATCCAGCATATCAAAGGATCGCGAAGGTTTAATTTAATTTATAAAAAATAGAAAAAAAAAAAAAAGAGAATATTGACTGTCTAGGGCCTATGTTTGGATCCACAACAAGTAAACTCAAAAGTGGAATTAATTTGCGTTTTGTCTTTTAACTCATTGTTTGTTGTTGCCGTCTATGTTCTGGTTATAAATTTCTAAAAACACATACAACGTGAATTGGATTACATCTTTTTGTCTTTAAACTTACCTTATTAATTTGTTGCCACCTCAAATGGTTCTGTTTTGACCCTAAATTTTCCAAACACATGGTATAGTTAGATTATTTCTGACCATGATTAATATATATATATATATATATATAGTATATATAATAATATATAATATAATATTTTTTTTTTAAAAAAAATAAAGTCGAAACCGTGTTTAAAAATCGCTTAGTTTGATTGATTTGGATCATAAGTGGTGCATGGCCTCCGTACTAGGCAAATTTTCCCTAATAAATATCTCTTCAAATCTCCATCTTAAATTCCTCAACAACATTTCTCTAATCCCCCTCATTATTTTTAAGCAACCTACCTACCGATATGCCCATCCTCCTTAACAATCTCTCTTCCTCTTCTCCCTTAATACATGCCCCGCTAAAAAAAGTAAAAATTTATATATTCTTTCATGTCCTTACTTTTGCATGTCCTTACTTTTGCTTCTACTACTGCTATTCAAACTCAAGCAAATGCTCTTCTAAAATGGAAAGCTAGTCTTGATAATCAAAGCCAATTTGTCTTATCTTCTTGGTCTGCAACCAGTGCTACTCCTTGCCATTGGTTTGGTATTCACTGTCATAAGGATAAGAGTATCTCTGCAATAAGACTCGTGGATTCTCATTTAAACGGTACACTTCAAAATCTTGATATTTTCTTATTTCCCAAACTTATTTGCTTTAACCTTCGCAACAACTCATTTCATGGGAACCTTCCTACCCATATTGGTAATCTTTCCAAACTCAATGTGTTTGACTTGTCTATTAATTTAATCTCCGGTATCATTCCTCAAGGTGTTGGAGTATTAAGCTCTGTCTCATACTTTGACTTGTCAAGCAACCTTCTGTCTGGTTCAATCCCAACTTCAATAGGAAACTTAACAAAGCTATCAATTCTTAAACTTCATAAGAACCATTTTTCTGGTCCCATACCTCAACAACTTGGAACTTTGACATTTCTCACTTTCCTTTCATTGTCATACAATAATTTC